GAATTGTCGAGCACACAACAGGAGTGAGGCGGGGAGACGCTAGCTCTCAGGTGGCGGCTCATTCGACGGGACCCGACCATATTTTTAAGTTTCAAGAGGCTGAACTCCTCGCAAGGGGTGACAACCGCGTGAGCCGCGAGCTGCTCGAGTCATGGTTCTCAGGCCCGCAATCCATCAACAAGCACAATGACCTCCCGGTACCATATTCCGTGCTGAGCTTTTCCCTGGACAGGGGAATCAGTCACGTGGGGGGGGGGGGCGCGGGCGAGCAATTATCGCGGTGACAGAGGGCCAATTTTCCAAACAACCGTTATACCAGCATCCAGTACGGATGACGAAATCACGGCCATTAACAACTCGGACGCGGACTAACAAGCCAACATCGCATCAATTAGGACCCCCGGCGGTTATTGCGAGAGCTGTTATTTACACTCCGCATATGGTCCCATGGCAGTCACATGCTATAAATACTACACTCTTTGTGCCACCATTATCCATATCTGCGACTGTCGCTGATAATCGGTTCGAGTGAGAATTCGAAACGTAAAACCAATAAATTTCTTGTTTTAGTGATCGCATCTTCGTCTTCTGAACTGCTACCTGGAACTTGTCTGTTAGCTTCTATCAGCAATGAAAATAATGTTGGCTCTCAAGTGCACGAGCAGAGGGCATCGTGTGTACGTAAATGCAACTGTACCGTAATCATCCGCTGCTATGGTCCCTGCACATGTATACTGTCCAACACTTTCAGCATAGTGACTACTATCTAATGAACCACCAACGCTACAGTAAACATCATGACGTCAAAGGATGCCACCGACCCTGTCATTCCATCGGGTAAAAAAATTAATTTTATAGGACCGCACAACCTTCTACGCAAGTGAAAATACTCGGCGTTCCTCTAAAAAGGCCTAAATTGTCAAGGCTGGAGAAGATTAATGGAGGAGCAATCGCAGTCTTGTTGCTGATTTGTAACCCTAATGCGTTATGACGGTTAAAGGAGATGAATGACGCAAACATTGCAACTGTCTGACAACCTTGACAAGTGAATTTATATCTAACTCCGCATATTTCTCGTCGTCAGCCTAACAGGCGAGCAAGCAAACTGTATTTCCTCTTTATAGTTGCTCCTGTCTAATTATGTTACCAGAGGGAAAGGATCTAAAGTTCGAAAGGTATCCGGCCTCGACTGGGAACGCAAAAGTCTGACAGTATAGACTTTTAGTACTTGAAATTGAGCAGTGATCCCCCGGACGTCTGAGCTAATGGCAATTGCACAATAATTATGTCCCACGACTATGTTATTGTGTACAAAATGACATGCTGCACAGATTCTTAAAAATATCGGGAGATGAAGTATTTAAAACAAAAAGGACGTAAATATCCCTAAACCCCATGGAACAGTTTCTAACACAACAGATGTTAGCTTGATCTAGATAAACATTGAGCTCTAAGCCATAGAAAATTAAGTGTATGTTCGGCGGTCGATTAAATTTTAATCCCAATTTGACTGAGCAAATTCAGTTGCAGCAATTTCTCCTTAAATTCGGAGCATGTTTACCTTAGCTACCCAACAATTAACTAGTTATTGTGTCGCGATCCAGGATTTCTTTTTATGTGCACATTTTTGGTGATGCCTACTTTCACTAAACTATTAAACAAGGGAGCGTTTAGTCCGAGTAGAAATAGTTATCCCTTCATTTCGATTAACAGTTTTTGTTAAGATATTTATGTCTAGTCATAGCGTTTCTGAATAAAAGTAGGGAAATAATCTTTAAGAGAGATGACTATCCAACAACAATCTCGTCTTCCGTCAATGGTTTCAATAAGCAACTCCAAACGTTACATCATTCAATTCGGTCTTGCTCCCATCAGGGGAAAATGTCGTCCAAGCTTTTAACCACCCACGCTGAAATCCATTTCATGATTACAGATAACAGATCGCATTTTTCTCTGCATGCGATTTATTACTATGTATGTCGACTTTGTCCCTGACGTTCTAAAGGCCGGGCCGCAAGAAACCTTCAGTTCACGAGTGCATGACTGCAAACGGACCGTGCTAATTCACTGCGTTCGTCCTGCAGGACAACCGCGAATTCGACTTCGCTGGCGCAAAGACAGTCATGCGCGCGCTAGCAAGAAAAGGCGGTATGCGCCGGGAGTCTGAAGATCTTGCAGCAACCACGTGAATCGAAATAAAGGTTTGCGAAGTATTTTCCCTAGGAGTAAATTTTAAAAACGAGTGAACAGCGATAAGTCGCACGATAACTTTGCAACTGAAACCCATCGCTACCTAAATTAGTTTACTAACAAGGAGCGTAAAGCAAATATTATATGAACGGAAAATCAACGCTTTTCTCTGCGCACACAGTGATAACGGCTAAAATGGTAACTTAGATGGTTATGGATTAAGAAAACGCTAACAGCTAAAATGAAGGGTATATAAAAGGAGTGTGAGTGACCAAGACTGATCACATGGTCTGTCTGTCTATATAGGTCGAATTTCCCCCGCCTTATGTGGGCTGTTTCCAAATGGCGCAAAGTTCGCATATTTTGTGCCTGATATCCTCGTCCATATAGATCGGCATGCTTTCGTTGCCAGATTCCATAGGTCCGTTCCCCTGCTATCAAGGCATACGACATATGCACGATAGAATAACGATGCTAAACTGCACGCTTGTAACTTTTACTTCCTCGTTTCACTTGATTATCCTCTGCAAGCGTTCGAAAGTCCAGGCAAATACAAAAACTGCTTGGAAAACCCACGTCCCCATTCTTCTTCTTTTTCTTCTCCGTCTTTTTTGCAAATCGAAGAGGTCGTTGAACATTCCATCTGTTTGACACTACATCATTATGGTCAGAACGATCATACTACGAGCCAGCAGTGCGACAGACGTACGATAATTACTTGAAAACGTTTTGCGCTGGCACTTGGCACTGAGCCAGCAGTTTCTTAATGACAGAAAATAAATCAGAATCAGCCATGCAAGCAGGTTTAATTCTTATCAGTTATATTTACAGTCGCATTCATTTTTTGAAAAATCTTCGCCTCAGAGATAATTCAGAAATTTTTCCTAATCGCTTGAGGAGCGTGTTCCTTGACTGCGATAAATGGGCGGAGTTAGGTAAAATTTCCCTCGACATGGAAGTTAAACCAACCCTTGAGTTTATGTCATCTAATTTCGTTAACCGTCCCTTCGATATAAAGATTTCCCCACTTAGGCTTAGGACATATTGCTTCTGTGTCCCCCCGGGGGCATGATTCACTGCGTGATATAGAAAGCCTGCTTTAGTATGAAGGCCTCAACGACGGGAATGGCAACTTTCTGATGCGGGTATTTGGAAATTTTCAAAAATTTCTGCATTTATAAAAGACTGCGCCCATATGCGTTCATTGGCTTTAGCTCTTCCTGTGTCTGGTGATCGAAGTGAGCTTGAATCTAAAACGACAAACAAAGGGAAGTATTGTCCTCTAACATAAGGTTCCGTCTCCTCGTCTCCAACATTAATTATATCGACATCAAGAACTAGCATGTTTTAGGAATTTCTGGTCATCGTCTTGGAAAATTGTTTTTGTTTTGCGATTAGCTTACCGAACTGTGCTGGACACGTCGACATCAGAAATGCTCAATAAAACAGCTCTACAAGGGCCATAAGACAGTTTTCGACATTGTAGAACGAAAATGCAGCTCCCATGTCGAGTGACACAACGAAAAATGCCAATTTCAAATAGCTGTTTCAGGGCCTGAAGACTATCTTTTCGGTAAAATTAGAGGATTCCAACCATTCCTTTAGAGTTCTGAACGTAATTTATTTAGGTTGCACATTCGAGTCATCCGCAAACTGAAACGGCTTAAAACTTCTGATGGTAAACCCCAGCGTGCAGTCTCCAAATTAACTGGGTCACGATAGCTTTCTCACTCCATCTAATCTACTTTGTGGATGGCATCCAGAAGATAGGCCGATCCCCAATCACCAGAACCGATCTTCATGTCCAGTCAACGTTGAGATAGGAATCTAGTTAGCTAAAACAACATAAACTTTATTGAAAAGGCCGCTTTGTAAATATGCAGTGTAATGTTAGTGGAGTCCTCCAGGAAACCAGAGTCACAGAAGGTGGATATAAATCACTGGTGTGAGAAATAAACTGGTAATACTTCGAGTTACATCGTCGTCTGAGATCATTTTGGCACTGTAGGCTTATGGATTCCTCCGTTGGACTTTTTGTCACTCTCCACAATTCACGGAATTAGTTGCTCTCATGTGGTACGGCTCAGACCGCCTGGATAGACAACTATACGGCTTTTTATAACGCGGGAAAGAACCTCTGTAATAGAGGCGGCCTGCGGTAAATCCCAGGAATGTCAGGGCCAGTGTTAAGGCTAGGGTTAGAACACGGGAATCTAGAGCAAGGATTCCCACTCCTGCGAATAGTCCAGTTCTTCGTCTGGTGTCCTCGTTGCGATGGCGGTGAATTTGAGTAGTTGCAAGCCTTACGTGACCACTACGCTAGAGAAGCCGATTAAGCTATTCACGCACTCTCAGCTGAAGTAGCTGCTCGGGAACCCCATCGATAATTATCTCAATTTTTCATCTGTGCAGTTGCCTCACTGGATGCTTTTGCCAAGCATAGCACGCCCCATTCTTAGTTTCCTTCTACTTGCAAATGTGACGCTTATTAGACTTCACTTAGTAGTGTTCGCCCATATCTTCTTTTGTGGTGGTCCAACTAGGTGACAAAAGTAAGCAGACTTCACTTAAAATTGCAACTGACCTGAGACTATTCATAGCTTTGATTGTGAAACTGGCGCACTTATGACTTTTGCATGTGCTTTTAAATCCCCACAGCCCAATTTGCCTGCCTGTGTGCTTTCTATATTGTCCTGTAGATCAGACGGTCTACGTTACAGTAATAAGTGTTAAAGATCCTTCTGTGAAAAAAAGAAAGACAACTGTCATCATCTAGTTTTGCTGAATCCATGAATGCACTTGAAGATAGGCTACAAATCTTCTCTGAGAAAGCTGTCCGATATGCCTTCTTTAAACAGGCCGTCGTCTGGAACGTCGGCAAAAAGCCGAGGATCGTTCATAACATCATCAACACTCATGTCATCCTCATCAAAAACAGCGTCAAATTGAGGCCCCTTCTGGTTACTTTTAGCAGTTCGCATTTTCCGTTCAGTCACCCTACTACGCGTCCTGGACAATTTCTTATCATAAAATCCGTCGCTTTCTATCGCTCTCATCAGAGCAGAATCCTGCATGGCTGTGTCGACTTCCATGTCATTCTCATCAAATACGCTGGTAACTTTAAAATCTCTCTCTGTATCACGTTCTGTACGTCCCGCCGTACGTTTTCTGTCCAATTCCGGTAGCTCCAAGTCCAACATGGGATCTTCAAAAGCATTATCGACCTCCATGTCGTTTTCATCGAAATCCTTTTCAGACACCTTCTTTGCTCTGTCATCCAGTTTTAATAAACGTTTATCCTTCTTAGACAGCGTATTTCTGTGTTCGATTGGCGGCAGTTCAGACGAGATTGGGACCTTCCTGGTATGCTGTGACCCGGTCTCAGGCATACCCCCTCTAACAGTGAAGGTGTTCGTGATTTCTTTATTTTCGACTCTTTTTTGCTGAGAGGATGGCGGTTTTTTGTCTCTTTCCTCATTGCTGCTGCCCATCTGGCTTCGTTTCCTCTGTCTTCCGGACTCTGCATGTACAGCGTATTTCTCCTTTCTTTTACTCAGACGTCGGTTTGTCTCCGGGGCTCTGGCTATGTCTGTGGATAGACTACTAAACTCTTTTTTGATAACAGGAGCCTGCGACGCAGGTCGCTGAGGGTTTTCATATATTTTACTCGTTTTAGGTTCAATGGTGGTAACATGAGCCGCGTAAGGCTTCTCTATGACATGTTCGGAAACACCCGAACTCAAAATGGAAGCAACGGATACTCTTGTGCCAGCGTTTTTATCCCGTTTACTGTCGTTACTTAATCTGTTCGGGGAATCGACACACACTGGAGCCTTTTGGTCACTGACCGAACGTTCACCTGGTGTCACTGCTTTACTGTAGGATGGCAAAGGCAACGATCGTGGAGGTATATTATCGTTCGTTTTTCCAGACTGCGCTTCGTCGCCTATGTCTGGCATTTCTGTATGTGGGCTTGCGACGGCATCCACGATGTTCGCGGGTTCAACATGTGCTGGGACATTTTGACTACTAACTGAATGCTCACTTGGTGTCATTGCTTTACTGTAGGAGGGCAAATGCAAAGAACGTGGACGTATATTATCGTTCGTTTTTCCAGACTGCCCTTCGATGCCCTTGTCTGGTATTTCTGTATGTGGGCTTGTGATGGGAAACGAGATGTTTGCGAGTTCTACATGTGCTGGGACGTTTTGATCACTGACTGAATGTCCACTTGGTGTCATTGCCTTACTGTATGAGGGCAAAGGCAACGCACGTGGAGGCATATCGTTGTTCGTTTTCGCAGATTGCGCTTCGACGCCTTTGTCTGGCATTTCTTTATGTGTGCTTGCGATGGGGAACGGTTTGGTTACATCAACTGGTTGACCAATATATCGATCTTCAATAACTGAACCTGGTGCGTCCATCTCAGTATTGCTTTCTTCACTACTTCCCTCGCTGCTCAAATCCTCCTGCTGGTTCATCCGAGCCGCATTCGCCTCTCTCCATGACTTCCACATCTTTTCGTATTCCCTCATCATCGTTTCATAGTCCAACTCCTCCGGAGGCACCCGAAAGTTCTCATGCGGTGCGCGTTTGAGGTACTTACCGCAGAAATATTCCAGTTCTTCCTCAGAACTCATTTTCTCCAAATCAACTTCTACCTTGAGAATTTTCAATGGTATTCGACAATTCATGCAAATATGTTTCAGATCGACCTGGCAACTCAAACAGTAGTAGGCACCACAGTCGGAGCATTGAATAAATTTTTCCTCGAACTCGACTTTCTTGTTAGGTTTGCCATAGTCACCACAGTAGACGCAGTAGACGCGTTCCACGCCGACAAAGCCGAGTAGCCAAAGCGTGTCAGGATGCGTCAGAAGGTAGCGTTCAAAGAAGGGCAGACGAGCTTGTCCGCGTTTGGTGTTGAGGTCCCGTGTGCGAAAGCGGTGTACAAGTCTGCTAAACAGACCCCGCGAGTTACGAATATAGGCCCGCAGCCAGCCAGCCCGATCGGTTTCCCTTTGCGGATAATACCAGCCGAGAATCACATGCCTCAATCGCATGACGTACACCTGTGAGTGTAGGAAGAATAGAAGTCTGTGTGAAATATTTTCACAAGAAATTACGCGGTGTAAGGCGCCGTAGCAGCCTCTTTGCCCAAAGAATGCTCAACGCCTTAAGTGATGCCTGATCTTCTAAACTTACCAACCTGTTCCGTATGCAGGCGCAAAGTGTCGACGGCATGACGATTGTGGTTGAAAGTAGTCCAATTCGATCCAAGATGTTACCTTCAGCAACAGACCTCGATAAACTTTAAGTTACATGATTTGGTATTCATGCATGTACTTTTCTGGCAGTGCAAGCTGTCAAATTGTAATGTCAACAGAGAAAGGGGAGGTAAAATAGAGCGAGAAAGGCGAAGTCCAGAAGCAACCTTTTTATCCTACTAACCCCCACAAAACGACATTAAACGCCTCATAACTCGCCCTTATTGAATGCTAACGACCTTAGAATACCCTGAACTTTGAAAGGGTGGTCGCGGATTGCCGATAGCCCCCGCGGGCTCGGCCAACCACTGGTATGGCTGCATGCGTGAGCGAGGATATCACTACTGGTCGATTACGCAAAGGCTGACCGGCTAACAGACGCCTTTGCCAGCCATGCCGTGTGTATTAGGTTAATCTTTCGGTTTAGTTTTTGTCGCCATTCTGTTTTGTTCCCCGTGACAAAAAGTTTTAATGGTATTTTTAAATAATTTTCTTATGTTCAAAAATCATTATAGGTATAAGCGCTAATATAAATTAAGTAAGACCAGGAAGACTACTTTGTTTCATTTTAGAAAAGACATTTCTTTTTTGAGATTGCATAACTTTATGCATTGCAGTTGAGATGACCGCTACCCGTCACGTTCCCCCAACAGTTCGTTCAGAATGCACTATGGCCATAAAGTTTGTGATACCTGTGTTTGTATAAACAAAAGGTTGAATTTCCGTCACAGGGAGAACGCTTTCTATACCGTATAAGCATCGCTTGCCAGCCCGTACAAGCAAGAATGTTAAATGCCGTTCCGACAGCCTCTGAGGAGTTTGAAACTAGCATTTCTGACTTATCTGTCGATTTCAGTCGACAAACTCCCCGAACCGCAGACGCCACCGTTCGGACCATCTCCAGTTGATCAACGAATCAAAACGCTACTAGCTGAGTCATGGGTCAATGCTTTGTTCACTGGAAACTGGAAGATTATAAGCGAGAAAATCTACGTCCCGCAGTTCATTGTGAGTCAGGAATCGCATTCTGTGGATGCAAATATAATTATATTGTACACTTCTTATGACAGACTTAACTAGCGTTGCGGTTAACGAAAACCAACCTGAAGAAACTCTTTTATATCCCTTCGCAACATGTCAGCATTCTAAGACATGTAGAGGTAGAAAGATGACCGACGACTGGCATCCAGGAATGCACGCGTGAAGGAGGGATTCCAAACTTGTTTTCTTTTCCTACTTTCCAAGCATACTGCGGTATGAATTAGTAAGAAAAAACATGCCAAAATCCAGTCAAGTTCTTCGCAAGAATATCGTCTAGGTGATGTAGTGGGCCAGTTAGTCGTACATTCCACATTGTTGAGGTGTAGGGTTATTTCATACTTTCAGACGTTGAACAGTCAGCACAAAATTTCCGTTTAAAATAATTTGATCAGAAAGGTGTGTACATTACCGGCAAATTTGCATGATATTATAAAAAATATTTACAGATTTCTTGGGGACGCTAGCAAGAAAACGAGTTGGAATAGTGACAGAAATGTCATGACATTGTATAGTTGTTTCTTAATCGGGGGTTTAGAGAGACAAATTCCGTCAAAAAATTAAATTTTGTATGATTTTTGCTTGAAAGTCTGATCTAAAAGCATAGTCTGGAAGGCCTAAAAACAAACAAACATCGTGTTTATTTGAAAAGAGGAATAATATCCATAAATCCTAAAGGAGTACTAACGTTTTGCGACTTCGGTAAAGTCCTTCAAAGCCCACTTGCGACCAAACGATTCTTGAGTACTCTCACTTAGTGGTGTTGACTTTCTATCGACATAAATTCGAGACAAAAACAGCAGTTCACCTGAACCAATCTGCCTGCTGAAGAAACTTCACTATTAGCTGCAAATACTCCACCAGAACTAAAATGCATTTGCGCAGTTTACAAACTAAAAGCCGTTCCCATTTGGTATCTCACCTGACTGCCTTCCCATTGGGGCTAGTGACGCTTAAAACGCTACTCCCCCTGCCCCACCCCCTTTATATCATCCCCCTGCAAACCCTTGCGTCCTTTTCAGACCACAGCCTTTCCAACCTCACACCCACTCGTGGAAAACCGGTATGACAAGCCTGGAAATTATCAATCGTGAATGTTAGCCGGGATTCGAACCAAATTCATCTAAATTTACGAACAATGTTTGCGGACTGGAAACGGTACAAAAGTCTGCACTTCCAATACTGACTAATCATCAACCGCCTAAATTTAAATCTTTAATTTTCTGAGGCTAAGCAAAGAAAAGTCTACAATATGCTTTATTTTTACAAGGTTTATATCCTGCCGTGTCTAACCAATAACTTTAAATCCCCAATCTCAGAGGAAATTCCGCAGAAGCACCCACTGGCTTCCAAAACGACCGCTTTGCTTTAGATGGGTCGTTTGGTCATGTGTCATTCTGGGAAATTTATTAGAAGATGAATCATTGGATAAATAAAATGAAAAAGCTAGCTTTATGGATTGAGAGAATTCCTTCTGATATGTACTTATCATTAAGCCCTTTTTGAGAGGTAAAACATATTATTTGGCCAATGCAGAAGATTCCTTTCTTTCCCTGGTACCATTGTCTGGTGACGTGGACGAATACTCCATGCCCTGTCTGTGGGCTTCATGCCACTGAGAATTTCACTTTATCTTTTAATAATGTAACACAAGTGTTGATGATTAATTAAATACCTAACTTCGCCTCAAGCTGATCTCTTAAACATCCTCACTGAGGTTCTAATAAGCCAGTTAGGACTAATAAAAGTGTTAGAATTTAGATTCTTAGAGGACGCTGTTCAGGCATTATCAAAAGTGTGGAATAAGCGCGGCCAAAAAAATCTGCGACAGACTTTTTTATACTAACCGTCGCCTGGGTTCGAAACATCAATATAAAAAACATGAGGTTGGGTTATGGCTTTTCATCGACCGTTGATAAGTCGAAAATACCCATCCATGTTTCTAATTTCTTTGCCTTATTTATTCCCTGTCCCTATGTGACTGACTGTAGGGCCTCCAAGACACAAGGGGGCGAGCATTTTCCGCAATATGGCCGGATCAGTAAGCGACGGTCTAGCGCTTCACATTTTTTGCCTGTTGATGACTTAAAGACTTCCGATCAACTGATAAAATAAAACAAGCGATTTAAAAAGATGTATCCTTAATCAATGACGGGCGATACTTAATAAAAACTAGTCAGACCCGAAGGAGTATTAGCAGTTAAGGCATTCATGTTGTGGGTGTAACTAAAGGCTGGCCAGATTATGGTAAAAACTTATTTTCTGAAATCTAACTAATGGAATGGCTATGACAGCACCAGAAAGTCATACGTGTCAGATTAAAGGTAATAGAGGCGACCTATTTTTTCTTGGTGGACAGCTGATTCAGAAATCTAAGTAAAATGTTCAAGTTCGGGGTCTTTAACAGTAAGTGTGTTTTAATAGAGAAAAGATAGTTATGTTTCTATCAAACTAGCGGGAAAGCTCACTGAAATTAACGATGACTGAAGAGCAATGAACTCAATTCACCAAGTCAAATAGAAACGGAACAAGAAATCATGTATAAGGGAAATGACTGTCCGAGTCAAATTTAGGCCATCGAATAGCATCGGTAAACGTATGCATATCTTCGTCTGTAAATCACGATAAATGAAGAATCTGTTTTACGGATTCGTCAGTCCTAGACAATATGGACAATTGTTGTCGGGTTTAGGGTAAAATTGCATTTTATGTAGTAAATACAGACTTAAACAATCCACCCTTCGCAGCCTGTGAGACATATGCAAAAAGAGATGTCTTTGTTGAAGCACGCATTTTTCAGCATCAACACACTCGTGGCTACTGTTCAATATTTGTGACGTAATATTTGGATGGCGGGCTGTAGGAGAAGCCCAACTGGCTACTTGGTCATGGAGATTATCTTATATTGGTCAACAGAGTTTTGCACTGATGAAAAGCAACACTATGTCTCGACAGACTATGTGTAGAAAGAGCCAATCACTTGGAACCGGAAAGCGAGTCACAGAGCCAATAATATTAAAACATGCCTGTCAAGTGAGAGATCAAAGTACATCGGCGAGCTAGATAGCGCGCAATATCTATTTATTGCTGTATGCGTAATTCTGAAACAGCGTCAAGAGGTTCGCGCAATCACCTGCGAAATCATGTGACCTCTCAAGATTGGCGTTGTCACGTGATTGGTCATTGGTCCATTTTTCAGCATACCTCGTATCTACGTTTCTAGACTGTTTAACGGCTCCTCCCTCCACTTGCCCAATTATAGCACATTCGATTGACATTTCATGATGCTTATGACCTATCCAAACTGACCTATTTTAGACCGTCGTAACGCATCATGCAGCGCTGTATACATGCACAAAGGCCACGAGCTCTTGACTAGTAGACCGCGAGACCTAATAACTTAATTGAATCTGGATTTGAATACGCTTCATTCCAGCAGGCTGGAAAACCCTACGCGGTAGGAAATCGTTGCCCTAATAGGATGGACCTTTTCCATTGGTTTCATATGTCCATTTGAATTAAATATCTTGTTTAGACAACATGCAAAAACATATTCTCCATTGTGCTCATTTGGTAGCAGATTGCGTTCTCTGCAATCATTAGAATTTAAGAAAAGAAATCTTTCGGTCTTATGAAACCTTTTTAATTCCCAACTAAGCTTGTACCCGACCTAAACTTGCGCCTGCGCTAAACTCTTCCAAATTACAAGCTGTGTACTTTCAGTGCAAGGGAACTCGTGCACTTCTGCACGCAATTAAAAATATATCAAACAGAACTCGTAAAGGTTTGCGATGAATGTGGGCTAAGTTAGATTCTTCGTACGTAGCAATGATGAACAGGCAGATATGATGCTGTATTGATTGCCACATTGCAGTCTTGACAATCACATAATAATAAACCTTTTAAATCGAAAGTTCTCCTGTCCTCAAGCAAAAACATGGGTGACGACATACTTTTCTACCAAATAAATGCACGAAAGATATTTTTATGCATGCGATTTCTAAAACAAATTTAAACTTGTAAGGACATTGGATGTCAATAGGAAAATTCATAATTTATAACGAGTCATCTTTTATCAAGTGGTTGTTGCAATGTGTCGGAAATAAGTTAATTCAAAATCGGACACTCTGGCGTCGTTGAATTCTCATGGGGTTATGCTGCACGAAAGTCAATATTACAAACTTTACCTAAGCAATTGATATTTCTTGAGACAGGTCATCCAGCACAAATTAAGCCACTATGGTTAAAAACGGATAAAAAGACAGCTTTCCTAAAAGTATTTGTTGCTTTCTTATACATTGAGTTCAATAATTCAAACATGTGCTGAAAGATGTATCCCAAAATCGTTTTCTCGGTCATTCGTAAACTCATCTCAACGCCCGCGATGTTCCCCCGTCAATTATTGCAGACCGTAGGCATAACAACGTACAGTTTTTTCTCAGTATGAATAAAGATATTACTTGACATCTGCAGCGTGCTGCAGAAAATCCGCTTCGCCTTGCGAATTTTTAAAATATGAACGTCAAGTGATTTCATAAACGCGTTTTTTCAGCGGTGAATAATCACTTAAGTGCGCAGTCTTACTAGTTTTGCAAATTTTGCTAGATGCATTACTCAAATGTACTCTAGGAAGAGACGGACAGTGATTTAACTACTCTTCATTAAATTAAACAAGTGGACTTTTTGGCATTTAGGTGGAATGTAATTAAAAATCAAACCCGAGAAGTTTATTTTCAATAGCAGATCAAATGCCGGGTTGGGTTAAAATTCAGTAACCATGAATCATCTGATTAAAAAGTAACAAGATCATTAAGAACCACGTTGATATTGATTTTTATGTATTTTGTTAATTTAAATCAGATGAAGATTTGGTTTACTGTCCTCTCTTCTGCACTACTGAAACCTGATTAGTGCACGGCCACTAGGTTTTCAAATTGACCTTTCCGTTTTACGTTTTTTTCTCTTCAACGAACCTCAAAAGCATATACCCTGCATAACATAATCGAGCCTGGTCGGAGTATTAGCGGGTTATCGCCGCTCAGCTTGTAATTTTTGGCTTACAAGCACTTCACGTTACAATGTGGCCAACACACGGATGCATTATGCCAGTGCATAAACTCTCAGAAGCAACTAAATAGCTAACTGGGTTAGATCGCAGTTGGCAGCCAGGAATGGGGAGGCGGACAGCCAGGTCCCTGTCGTACGGGGATGGTGGGAAAGGGGGTTATATGTGTGGAGTAAATGAAAGGGCTGGTAAAGGAATGCTGGAGATTCTAGGTAAAAGTAAAGTTACCAGAGAAAGTGATGGGAAGTTCTAAGTAGGTGGAATAATGGCAGAAATTTAAAGCCTACGTTTAAACCTAAAATCCAACCCTGACCGCAAACGTAAAGACTAACCCTTAGCCTCAAAAGCGAAACGTAACCAAAATCCTAAAACCACACGCTTACTCAAAACCTAGTCATAATCCTAACCGTAATCCTAAGCTTGACCCTTACTCTAACCTTAACCATAACCCTAACCTTAATGCTAACCCTAACCCTAAGCCTAACCCCAAACTTAACCGTAACCCTAACGGAAACTTAATTCCTAACCCTAACACTGAAACCTGACCCTAAAACGCCAACCCTAATTCTAAAACTTAACCTCAGCCTAACCCTGACCCTCACTAAACCCAACAGCCTGACCGAAACGGGCGACCTACCTAACTCAGTAAGAGCCCACCCTTTGATAACAGGTTCCCTAGACTAGGTAAGCACACCTACTCATAACAAGTACGTACGCCGACAGTATTACCGTAGTGTCCGGCTACCGACTGTGATCTTACCGCAAATTGTATTAACTATTTATTTATATATCACGGACTACCAGTTAGCAGACGGCAAATATTGTGTAATTATTCCGCAAACCTGAGGGCATATGCTGAAGGTGAAGCTTATCTCAGAGACTTTAACACAAGTCGACGCATTATTTTTTAAATATATTGATTTTGCTTTAAGTGGGCTATCAAAAAAACACTTTTGGAACCTAGTAAACGGTAGCTGCTTGAGTGTCCGAGGCTTTAGAGTGTAGTTTAAAGTAATTGGGAAAAATAGTCATTTCTACAAACTTACTGAAGGATTCAAATGGGAGTACAATTGCGATAGTAATTATTGACACCCAGAAACATGGCGTAAACTAATGGTTATTTAAGATCATCTGAATTTTTGTTTCCTAGAATCAGAATCCCGTAAAGGCCTTCTTGATAACCTTTAACTTCTGTGTATTGATTTGGCGTTTCGATTAAATAGAAGGTATTATTTATCGTAATTGTAGTAATTTTGAGATGAGGCTTCTCTGGTTTTGGAAGCATCCAGAATGAAAATAATACAAATTTCGTGTCAGAGGTAGGGAAGCCTGTGGTAAAATCTATAACAAAATATCCGCAACAGGAGAGTTGGGAGTAGGCAGTGCATAGCAAAGTAGTGTGTTTTTACTTGTATAAAATGGTACTTTCTACGGAATCGTCTGCAAATAAAAGTCACTTTTCGTCCGGTTGTGGAAAAAACATTATTGCTACGGACGAACTCATACATTCGTAATAAACTCATTACTTCGCTGACAAAAGAAGCAGATTAAGTGTGGCACCTTTTGAAACGTCTAAAATACTTGTCCTCTATAAGTCCTGTTAGGTTCATTTCTTTTAAACCACAACAGACATCACTGGAGTCCGTCTTCGATTGGCGGTTCTTCGCAGCATCTGAAAGGAGCACTAGCGACCTCTTTTGGAACAAGACATATTTAAAACATCCAAAATGCACAAAACCAAATAGCTTCACCTTCTTGCTGTCTTAATCTCGACCCTCCGAACCTCTTTAGTGATTTGTTTATTTCTGAAGCAGTCTTTCTGCCTTTCACAGCTTGTATTTCATAAGTCATTCAAGCCTTTCTTTTTAAAACTGGAATTGGAGTGAATATAGCTACTGTATTTTTTTGCATTTATGCCGGTTTATACGATGGAAGCCTTTTTCGTAGGAGCATTACTGTCTATCGTAATTCCATTTCTAGTTCTCATTAGTACAGGAACAAGCAGAATACGCCCTAGAAGAATTACGTTCATAGCTGATAAAAAGGCTAGATAGCCAGCAAAGAAAATTTATTAACCTAATGCTGGAGATTTCATATCCGGTCATATCAATACAAACAGAATCAGAGGACGCAGCATTTGTTGGTTGCGCCCACATTGCACGATGGTCTTGCTGACGCGAAAGTTGACTAGTCAGCCAAACCAGGGAAAACCTTTGCGAGCCTTCCTTGCCAATCTCAGTAAATGGCGCACTTACTTCTTGGCAAATTTGCTACTTACTGTCGTCTCCATGAGTAGATCACACCTTCGCATCTCTTCTGAGACTAATGGACCTACCGGTGTTAGGATTGGGAAATCGTTAGATCTTTGGCCAGCTTCAGTTAAAGAATACTGTCACAAACAAATCGTATCCCAGAAACATGTCAGCACATGTGATGAGTTTGGTCTAAGTTGACTTGAAGATATGACCAGTCCGTCTTGTATGGGTCCGAGCATGTAATTCTGCTTTACTGGTGGTGCTGGTTGGACTATTTGTGCTTGGCGTAACCTTTTAGCTTTTCCACATAGTTGTTTTGCCTACAAATGCTACAGGTCGAGAAACCAAAGTCTAATTTATATTTTTGTACCATCAGATCTGTAGTTCTTATTAGTCGGCGTGAATATTTGTATCTGAACTGCAAGAAATCTCTATTCCCAGTAGTTTGAGAATATCAGTTGATGACTTCCGAGCGATTTGGTGCTTGCTCTAAGTTCTACGTGAATATGTGATGAGGATGTACTTGCAGACAAGAAAGTCAAACATTGGTCAAAGATACTGAAACTCGAGAGCCTACTCTTTCGACTCACCGCACTGCCTGTCAGGGAGCTAATAAATTGCTCACATACAGCTATGTTTGCGTTTAACTCACTAACAGTTTTGTGAAGTCGGCTACTGTGAAACGTTTATCATTTAGAAGGCAAGATCAAGCTTTCATAAATTTCGTTTTTATTTTTAGTTTAAAACTTCAGACAGCATATGCAAATATTCACTTGCGAGGACACTTATATTCCAACTTTTTACTTTGTGAGCGATTTTGGAAGATTCAATGCTGCCGCTATTATGGCTTTTCACTTGTCCATACCATACGAGAGTACTATAATGTCAGCTACTATGCCACGATTATTGGTGTAAAAGATACCTAAATTGAACGTTTTAGGACAAATGTTAACAAAAGCTAAGTTTAAGGACCATGTTTTATGTTGATGGAAAATATTCTCGGTGAGTTTCGACAACTGAAGATTAGGCTGGTCTGTGGTAGATCACACTTCTGTACTTATCTTTCCTGTCTCATTGGCGATCCTTAGTTCACTAGGCGTTTTACATCTGTAAAACTCAAAACGCATCGACAGAACCGAAGTGCGAGCGATTTTTAATGTCGGCTGGTTTTGTTTGCCCTTCCTCTCTCGTTCGCGCTAGTTGCGATTTTGCTTTCTGTTATCGACAGGACACTTCGCATAGAGTCCGTCGGTGTTACTTTGAAAGCGAAAAAGCCGGGTTGCGCGAGAGAGAGTGAAAACGAGGTCATAAACAACTCTGTTAGAGTAGGGAGATAATATCCCTGCTGAAATCTCACTTATGCCCTCTTTTTATGAATGCAGCCCTAATGCTTTAAGAGCCACTGCGATTGTTGACCTTATGACACTTACAGCCTATCGTACTTGATTTCCTTACGTTGGCCCCGTTTCAAACAACCATCAACCGCCCGTACGTTTCGAATGCCTGGACTTTACAAATGTGCTTGCAGACATATCTCCGCTATCATAATTTCTTCCTTTATTATTTCTCGCAACAAACTACAAACGACATAATTAAAGGGTCTTGTATGTACTTCACAACCTATGGAATAAATATGAACTAGGTGCTACGCATGTTTGGTCTGCATATCAAGATTCCTCATAAAACCGTTCAATGTTTGGTAGAAACCATGGAACCGACATCATTAAAACAACATACTAAGGTATATAACCGCGCGTTGCTCTTAATTTTCCGGATGAGGGCACACCAGTAACTGCATAGTAAACGAGGTATAAGAGCTCTCCAAGAAATACCCCTGCCTTCTGACTACTACTAAATAATAACCTATATGGTTTCTGAAAAGTGTCACTACAAAAAACCGGCTTTTTAAACAACAAAAGAAGCAATAATAAAACAATTTTTGGGGATTTTCTCAGACGACTAACTTTCCCTTCTCATGTATTGGATGGCATGTCTTGTGAAATGTGAGGACTGCAGTCTGTATGATTAATCTTGGACATCTTAAACGCTGTGCACTTTATAACGCCTCCCAGATATTTTATCGAAAGAAGTGCCAAGGCGCTTTTGTGCTTTTTAATTTCCTTTGAAACGCAATTTAACAGCTGAAAAGCAGGGCATTGAGAATTCAAGCAGTTCTTTAGTACTTATGTGACCACTCTGCCGTGCCTTCTGAACCGAAAGCCGAAGCCAAAATGCAACCTAGGATGGCGAAATATGATGCCAATACAAAAAAGTTAAAGTTTTTATTGGAAGAATAGATATGCTGGTTAACCGCCCCACGTTCCTTCATATTACGATGTAAAATTGGTATTTGGACATCTGTCCCTGAAATACCTTATTGATAAATTTCTTAAAGAAATAAGTTGTTAACAACGGCTTTCATCTGGTCAAAAGCATGTTTATTGCGTGCTTTTCTGTAATCACTCATTTTCTCGGTGATAAACTTACAATTTTGGTGAAACGCAAATATAAAAAGGGAACGCTCAATAACTCCGTACTCAAATTACTGTCCTTAAGAATCGTCTTGATTTAAAGATTTTAATGAACACAAACCACGTGATCTGTGCTTCGTGTAGTTGACTAAGACAGTTAAAGTAATAAAATACTCGTTGACACTTCAAGGACATCCTGAGACACAACGTATTTTGTCCTTTCCATAACAAAAACGGTACTTCTGCCGGAAAAGGCAATCCTGATAGACAGAATAGGTCATGCTTGTGATGACATCTGTTAATTTCATTTCAGTCGCAGAGCCAATGACCAGCCTTTTGACATGTGGCATTAAGATATCTTGTTTGTGCGAATTTCCTGTCATCCTTGCCTTAGTCCATCGCATCCTGAATAATGTGAATAAGGGAAGGTACAGCAACTTCTTGTTGTTCCATTCCAGAACACAGTCATACATTTGGTAATAAACTTGTTGTCACACCTCATGTTACATTAGTTCTCGAAGGATATGTACATGGGGAGCATGCAAAGAGCCTGTTCAAATTTTGCTGTTTGGGCTGTGTAATTTAAGCAATTTTTACCGCGAATAGGATTTATGTACTTGTAAGAAGTGAGTTTTCGCATTTGACAGGCATCCTTGCGCCTCCATCATTCGTGTCTTTTTAAGAATACAGTCACTTCTAACCAAAATAATCTTAATTTTAACACTTTTAGCACTCTTATTTACCTAAAGGTTGTAATTGTTAATTGTCAGTTTCTTTGCATTTGTGTTATGTTCCATTGATTAGGAATTTTTCATTAACGTACACCACCTATTGGACTTCCTTGTTTGGAGAATTAGCTAGAAGATCAACCTGTTTCTCACCTGGAATATTATTGTTGTCAACATGCCAATAATCGCAGCACCAATTAATCCGTTATGCAAGGTACTCGGAGGTGAAGCCTTGGGTCTACATACGGAGGCGTCAACATCAAAGGCGATGTCTTTCAGTGGGTTAGACAGAGCCAGCAAAGAACGTGCCAGACTTGCCATTGAAGAGTTCCCCTCAATCTTTGGTTGTATTTTGTCCTCAGGAGCCCTACCGAATTCGGGGATGGCGTTCAGGTATTGATCTTTTCGCCCTTTGGTACCGAAGTCGGATGAGAATGCCGGACCAGTTGTAACCAGAACGACGTACATGGTGTAATCCGCTAGCATCACCATTATTATTGTGAGGATACCAACGAGGATGAAGATGAATGAACTAAAGGCTGCGCGTTTCTCCGAAGTAGACCACCAAAAACTTGAAAGTGGAACATAATGACGTTTCTCTCGAAATGACAGGGGCAAGGTCATTATAAGCTGGTTCTCAAGGGCATGTTTTTCCTAAAATGAGAACGTATTTACCTGATTAGCGTTAAGCGAAAGGCAGGGATGGCGACTGACACGCACTGACATCGTCCATATAACGATGGCATAAATCTTCTCCCTGATCTCGTGAAATATAAATTATATTGAATTCAACTCGTTCTGCCATACAGTTAAAAGTTAAGATTCAAATTATTTGACAATTACGTGATGTGGCTGTCAAGTTGCCAAATGTACGTGAGAAGCGGAGATCGCAGTTACCGTTTCTTCTTATGATAATTCGGAAGGCAACGGTCATGATAATCACTGAGCGCTATTACTTTGTCAGCTTATCTTTTTACACTGATAAGACCTCCGTGAAATCGTGATTAGAGGGCGTGCAGTTTTGGAAGAGGCGCTCACCGACCTTACTGCATATGGGTTGTACAACAGTGGCTGCGAATTAAGTAAAAACATCCGAAGTAGCTTAAAAAAGCAAATTGATAAGCTGCTTTCTCTCCAGCCAACATCGAAGTTAAAATGCGATATCACAATTACGGGCATAAACG